GATATCTTGGTTTCTACTGTGTGTCAGCGAGATGCTGGTAGGTGTGGTTCGTGGAATGGTCGGCTTTTATAGTTGGGAATAGATCGGATTTAGCGTTTTTGATCTACTTTGTTTTTCACCGTCATTTTCAAGGAGTGATGGAATGAAGCTCGTATTAGGTTCCACGATTTTCTCTGCCATCTCCGGTCGTGGCTTCATCCTTCCTCAAAGTTTTTGGTCTCAGGTCTGTTTCGGTGTCAGAGTGGAGCAGTTCTTCTTCTTCATGGTCACGTGGTCTCCCATGGTCTTTGTCCTCGGAGAGGAGTCTCGAGTTATGCGTGCAGAAAGTGATGGCGCTATACTCGGTACAGACTCATGTGTGTGTTATTTGTAGTTACATCCATTGTTCTTCAGTGGATTCAGAAAGTCGTCTATGATGTTTGGCGGCCTCAAGTTTCACTACATCATCTCGGACTTTGAGACATGACGTCCTTCCAGTCTTCTCGGGAGTATGAGCATCGCTTTACCCTAGTTTGGTCTCCTTGGTTCATTTTGTTTATTCCTTTTCGTTGACACCGGAGTAGGAATTTCACATTATAGAAAATTGACTTTCGGTCCTCAGAGGTTACAATAGTGGAGGCGGTTCCCAAGGAGTCTTTGATCGTCTTTGTGGCAACTATTGGTCATCGTCCACTTCTCGGTGCCGTAATGGCTCGTTTGATCTCTTGCGATGGTGTACTTTGACTTTTTATGTAGGTTATGGAAATCTATTGACAGGTTATGGCAGTGAAATCAACTTGCTTTCTGCATAGTTTGAGACGGCTTTGGAGTGTGTACAGCTCGGTTCCTCGATCCTCTATCGGTAAGAGTAGCCTCTCTCTAAATTCGTCTAGTACTTTATCGATAGTGACAATTATAAGTTTTGAGGCATTCATCAGTAGCTAGTTACTCCGGAGGCGACATGGGAACTCTCGACATCCGAGGAAACGAGGAGAAGCTTACTTCTCGTTAATGGTTGAGAACGTCGACTGATTCCTAAAGATTTGAAAAACAAATTAACGGAATATGCCGGGTTTAGTTGGTGAACGAAGCTAGGATTATAATACTTGACTTGGGTTATTTTGTGTAAATCGAACTTCTTAATCGAATCTGAATTCCCGTTATTCGGATTGAATAAAATATATTAAAAATATTTTTAACTGCAGATTGTTTTGAAGTACATTTAATTGTAGATTGTTACCAATGTAACAACATTCCATACATTATATTAATATATATACATCGCTCACTAAGAAAAATGGCCTTGGGCATATTGTCTTCGTAGTAGATCACCGTATTTTATGTACATTCTTTCTTGCAGATTATTTTCAAGAAATTGATGCAACACACTGCAATTTTAATTAATCTTCGCAATTACTATATAGTCTATAAACATGTTTTGGTGTTACTGGATGGTAAGACCATTATTGTCGATTGCACAAAATATTTTATAGTCTTGACTTTTACATAGATGTTGGTTTTAAAAATAACCAAAATTCTTGAGATATTAAAAACGTAAAAGACTGCTTTATAATTATAACTAGATTTTTGATCCGCGCTTGAAAGCGCGGAAATTTTTTATGATTAAAAATTTATATAATTGGATTTTGTCTTAATTTAAAGAATATTTTGATATAAAATCAGTTCACCAAAATTTGTGGTGATGATTGTTTTTCGTTAGTTTTTAGTTTCAGTTTTTATTTTTAGATTTTGGTTTTTGGTTTTTAGTTTTTAAGTTTCTACTTTTCATTTCAGTTTTTGGTTTGGGTTTTTAATTTTTAAACCGGTGAGTTAGTTTGAACTAATATTACCAACAAACAAATCTCAAATAATCGAACATCTAATTTAAAACTGAAAAGATGATAACAATTTTTTAAAAAAAAATTTGAAATAGTTTATTTTGTAAATAAACAAAGCAAAAAAAATATAACATGTGTTTTCAACTTTTGGTTTTGGATTTTAGTTTTTAGATTTGGTTTTTGGTTTTGATTTACATTTTTTTAATCAGTAAATTATTTAAGAAAAATAAACAATAAATTATGTAAAAGTTACCATTGAAATTTAACAAAAAAAAATGATTGTTATTTAAAATAAAAAAAATATATTAACATGTTTTAAAGTACATGATTTAAATAAATGATTAATAATAGATAATTTTGTTTTGTTAGAAATATTAAATATATTTTGGGTCTGAAAATAATAATTGATTTTTTGATCTTTTAAGGTGAAAAGTTTATTCCATGTTTTTGGAGTTTTTTCTTAATACTAAGCAAAAAAAAAACTATATAATTAGTTCAAAAATAAAAGTAATCCCAAGACTATATTTCATAAATAACCACTGGTTTAATTTAAGTATAATTAGTAGATTTCCATATTCCATATTTTGATGATATATATTCTTTTAGAACATTGCATATTTGTATGAGAAAATATGTGTTTTTGGTATACATATAGATACCTGCCGTATTTTGAAGGTAGTTTACATTAAGGTCGTCTCTTTACATTAATTGTGTTGGTTTAATTTAAGTAATACGGTTCAGTCAACTAAATGACTTATATTATTTGTAATACTCTAGAAAATGTCCAAATTTAAATGACAACTTATATCAGTAGATAAAAGGAATGACTCTATTTTAATAGAGTAGATTTACAATCGACATATTATGATAATTCATATTATGAGTATTAAATTAAGGTTAAAGGGACTCGATTAGTATAACAGTTTAGAATTGGTTCAAATACGTTAAAAAGAAACAAAAAGATGTGTAATATGAAATGAATAGAAAAGAAGCAAGCATGTGGCTTTTAATTGGATGAGTTATGAAAGTAATGCCATTTGTGTGAGTAGATAGAGAGAGATGGTCAAAGGAAAAAATGAGATGTCAAATCAAATAACAGTAGTGAGAGAGAGGGCGGAAAAAGAACTATTGATACCATCAATCGTTGCTCCCAAATCTGCCCAACCCATCACGCCCTTAGGGCTCCACTCTCTTCTTCTTTTGTTTTCTTACCACTCTCCTTCACATTACTTTTTGCCCCTTCTGCGCCCATTTATCACAATCTTTATGTACATCCATACATGTGTATATACATGACTGCATGCATCCGTATGCATATAAAACACTAAAGAACGGTAAATGGAAATTAGGTCAATTCGATAGAAAAAAAAGGAAATTAGGTCAATATGTGTGTGTATGCGTCAATCGATAGATAATCATTTGGTTTCGAATTATAAGATAAAATTTAAAAGTGAATGATGTATAAATAAAGAGATGTAGTGTTCCTTCAACGAGCAAATATATGTCTCCCCACTAACAAAAAAAAAAAGTGAAAAAGAGAGCATATTGCAAAAGCTCTTTTCAGGAACAAAAGCCTCTCTTTATCTGCAATCCTAGTTACACAATAAGATCCAATTGGATCTTCAATTCTAACATTAGCAACAAACTGACTCATAACCAAAACTGTAACTACAATAGCAAGAAAAACACTTGCAGCCCGGTACTATACTTTGTTTTCTTAGTAAGTTAAAAATCAGCTTTTTAATAGGCTGCATTTACGTTGGAAAAATACAATTGTCACATATGGTGATTATTTGTTCAAATTGATTTGAACATCAGTGAACAAGGCAATTTTATCGAAAAGGAAATAAACAACAAAATTTATTGAAATTAAAATTCTATCTGGCACTGATTAACGTCAGTACTAGTAGTGGAGGCAGCTTATTAGGAAGGGTGTCAATTGACCCACATGAAATTTGAAAAATCTACTTAAGTTTTATCATTTTCTTAACATTGACCCAGTCAAATAATATTTTTGACCCTCATCACCTTTTAATTCAAACTAGGTGTTTTGCCCGCATTTGCGGGCCTAAACATTTTATAACTATTTTTTATACATTTTTTACTAATTGAAAGATTATAATGATAAAGTATTAGTTAAGTTTTATTTTTTGAAAACAATAATATCTATACTTTTATTTAACAATAATAACTTCACGAATATATATCATTATATTATTTTAATTTGAAAATAATTACGTATTCTACTTTTTTCAATTTCTCTTTTGAATTATATAAAATTAAAAATTTTACTTTATGAATATTTATTTATGTGTTTTCTGTTTTTGATTTTTTTATCAAAAATATATTTTCCGGATAACAACACAATATATATAAGAATTATCTTTTTTTATTTTATTTTTAAATATATATATAGATTATGGATAATTCTTATCATTATTATTATTTTGAATCATTTATCTAATCAAATAAGTATTAAATTCGTTTTTAGTTTTAGCTGATTTATATATTTTATTCATTAAGGGTATAAACAATATTAACCACTCCAACTTTTAACGTGAGAACTCCATTGCGAAAAATCACTTCACAAATAATAGTATAGATATAGCCCACCAATATTTATGCAGTTTTCTGTTAAAACAAAATATTTTGACCCCTAATCATCCTACCGTACTGGTCAGTACAATATATATATTTCAGTTACCTAAGCGTTATATGTATTTAAGTTCTCTGTATTACAATCTTGAAGCATAAATTATCTAAATATTTTTTAGTTTTTTCAAGGAACCTGTCAAAAGACGCAAGTTTTTCCATCCTGATCAGTGAATAAGTGAGTTTTTTCGAATTGGTTTTAGCCGGTAACAGCCAAATTGTCTTTCTATAATTAAGGCATGTGACATACGTCTACCATCATCACATCATTTAAAAACAAATAAAAGAAGCATGATAATTCAGTATACATTGCCTTTTAATAAACTTAAGTAGAAAACTAGGGATACGAGTTTTAAAACTTCCAAGTGATCCTGATTCATTTTTTTAATGTATGATCAATTAGATGATAGAGCTCTTACTTAGAAAAGCCATACTTCAATTCCATCAAAACTTGGTCCATATATTTAGGTATTCTTAGAATTAATATATATATATACTGAATTAAGATGTACTTATACTAATTTATATAGGCTATTTGGACTGCGTTGACACTTGATCATTGTCTAATTGTTCTATTTCAGAGGCAGGCTCATCTTCATCATCAAATCCATCAATTCCATAACCTCCATGACCATTTCCAAACGCCTTGATGTGATCTTTCAGAGATCGCTTGTGCTTGAAATCAGATCCACAAGTGCAATACCAAAGCTTACCACAATTCTTCTCATGTGTTCTCCAGTCCCCTCGGACTGCGAAAGCCTTTCCACATTTCCTACACATGAAGGGTTTGATTCCATGCTTTCTCTTGTAATGTGTTTGAAGTGTTCTGAAGTCTTTGAGAGGCTTTGCCCTTGGATGGTCAATGTTGTTGCGACAGCTCGGTGCGCAGCAATAGCACGGAAGCCTAAGCATTCCGGTTGGCTGCGTTCCTCTTAGAGATTCGGACCCTTTTCTGTATTGTGATCCATGTCCCCACATATGCATCTGTAAACAAAATCGTGTATATATTATCATATAGGGTTTGAATAGCTCTTGAGTGCCATGCTTGAGATACAGAATCAAGAAAGCTGAGAACAATGATAACAGTTGAGATCCTTTCTGTATTGTAATGTATGAGCCTTATGACGAATGTGTTTATTAGCCTTTTTTCAAACATGTGTCTACTATAAGATGTTATGATTACACTAACCAGCATACATTGATTAAATCGCATATCAACTTTGAAGCATATGTAAAAAGACAAGAACGTTTCACCAACAAGGATCAATGCTACAGAAATACTGAAATGTAAGCAAAAATAGAAATAGATTTCACAAACTAAAAAATAATTAATCATTGATAACAGATTTAAATGCATGCTTAGGTCATAATAATTAATCAAGGTATACTGAAGTGAAAGATCCGCTTATTTCATGTTGAATACAAGATCTCAGCAAGCTCACATATAGAGCAGATGAAGCTACACAGTAAATTTTTAATTGATATAGCCATATCCCATAAAGGTATGTAAAATCGTATTAATTCTATTATTTTACACGTTGAATGATACATTTGCCAATATTGTAGAAAAGCAGCAAAGCCACAGAGACTCTGAAAGTACTAAAGACATAGAGAACATTTACTGTCTTTTTAAATCTCAGTCTCAGTCTTCAGAATCTCAAAGTCTCTTGGTTTTTTTATAATACAATGATTTATTCATGCATCATAGAACAAAAACATGTCATTTGTTTTGTTTGAAAACAGTATTTATATGTAAAACGTATGCATACATAACAGAAATATAAGAGAATATTAATCCAAAATTAAATTAAGAACCTGCATGTTGTTGTATCTGTTGAAGGTTTTGAAACAAACAGGACAGGAGAACTGAGTCGGGCCAATGAGGATCTGAGAAGGTGTAGGGATCCAATATTGACCCTTGTTGAGTCTGCTGATTCTACATGTGCCGTCTTCGCCGATTGAATCTTCATCTTCATCTTCTCCGCCACACGTGCCGTCGTGATGGTAGTCGTTGTCGAGATCTTTCTGGTTGTTCATATTCTCATGATGATGCGTAGTCTTCGAGGAAGATGAGGAAGAAGACATCATGAACAAAGAGGCCATATCTTGAGTACTAGGTTTTGGAGTTGGGAGGCCTATGTGAAGAGAAACGGGGACGTCATGGTCATCTAGATTATGATCATCCCGATGGTGATGATGATCGTGGTCATCAACATCCATGGAGGTTGAAGGTGGTTCTTGAATTAGATGGCCATGGTGGTCCTGTTGGTTGTTGGCGGGGCTGAGACTCAGGAGAGGGAGGACTTCACGGAGAGGAGGGGAAGGAGGATTTGGTGGTGGTGGTGGACAGCACAGGTCGCCGGAGTTAGGGAAGAAGAAGAAGGGAGAGGGAGGAGGAGGAGGAGGTTGTGGGTTAGTGGAGAAAGTAGGGTAATGGTGAAAAGGATTGGCTTTGAACCAATCTGTAAAGAAATTGGAATAAGGATCAGTCATGGTGAAGAGAGAAAGAGAGAAGAGAATAGTGTTTACTCTTGCTGTATTCTTTATACAAGAAGATACAATAGAGAGAGAGAGAGAGAGAGAGAGAGAGAGAAATATTCTTTAACCTTGTTTATTTTTGGTGCAATGACAATTAATGATTTTTAAAAATAATTATTTTATTAACTAAGGAGTGATTTTTTGGGGGATAATTAGGAAAATTCCTTATTTAGGATTTAAATTTTTAAAAATACACTGTTTATTTTGTTTTTTGAAAACTACACTAATTCATTTTTAATAAGACATTTTTATCCCTAATTTAAATTAAAGTTATATTTAACTACAATGTAGGTTAAGACACATGCTAATATTCTAACCAAATTGTGTGTTGTGGTAACAAAAGTTATTTTGATTAGGTGTTTAATTCATAAGAAACCACGTACGATTTGCTAATCGCTGTATTGTACATTTTCTCAGATTGCTTAATTATGAATGAATTCAAGTCAGAAATTCAGGAGGTGGTAAAGAAGATGTAGTAAAGCATCTCTACCTCTACGTAATATTCTTATGTTTGATAAGATGCAGAAGGGAATGACTAGATAAGCAACAATTTGATTCTAGGGATACTATCCCATAATTTTCTTCGGGAAAATTGTCATTTAAATCACGAACTTTCAAATTTGGTTGAAAAAAAACATGAACTTTTGCCTTGGACCATTTAAAACACCAACTTACTTTGAATAGCCATTTTAAACCTCAATTTAGTTTGACTAAACCAAATTAGACACGACGTTAACTCGGATAACGTATTGATTAGACGGGGTTAGTCGCCGTCTCTAATCTGTCGTTAAGTCAAAACGGCGTCGTTTTAAAAAATTTAAAAATATTGCTTCAAAGGGGAGTCAAACCCGTGACCAAAGGAACACTTGTCCTATCACGGAACCACTAGCACTTTACTTAATATGAATGAAGACTAATAAGTATTATTATAAAACCTCCAAATCATTTTCTCCAACCCTATATTCCTAAATAATTTTATAAACTTTAAAATTTATAATAACTAGTTAAAAAAATCGTAAAATATTAGTAAAAATATTAAAACTTATAATAATTATTAAGTTATTTATAAGTAGTATTAAAAATATTCAATAACGAAATTGTTTAATCATTAAGTATTATTGAATATCTAATTATTAATTATTAAGTATTTTTTAATTACTGAATAAAACTATTTAATTATTAAGTATTCTTAAATAATTAATTATTAAATAATAACGAAAATTTTCAATCATTAAGTATTATTGAACAATTTATTAATTATTGAATTATTAGGTTATTTATAAATTTTATTAAGTTAATCCCTAAATGATTTTATAAACATTAAAATTATAAATAACTTAATAATAAAATAATTTAATTCAATAATTAATAAATGATTCAATAATACTTAATGATTGAAATTTTTTGTTATTATTTAATAATTAATTATTCAAATAATACTTAATAATTAAATAATTATATTCAATAATTAAAAAATACATAATAATTAATAATTAGCTATTCAATAATACTTAATGATTAAAAAATTCGTTATTTAATATTTTTAATACTACTTATAAATAACTTAATAATTATTATAAGTTTTAATATTTTTACTAATATTTTTACGTTTTTTTTAATTATTTATTATAAATTTTAAAGTTTATAAAATCATTTAGGGATATAGGGTTGGAGAAAATGATTTGGAAAGTTTATAATAATACGTATTAGTCTTCATTCATATTAAGTAAAGTGTGAGTGCCCTAGTGGTTCCATGTTGGAACTATTGGTCCTTTGGTCCCGGTTCGATTCCCTTCTGATGCAATGTTTTTAAATTTTTTTAAAACGACAACGTTTTGACTTAACGGCAGATTAGAGACGGCGATTAACTCCGTCTAATCAATCCGTTATCTGAGTTAACGTCGTGTCTAATTTGGTTTAGTCAAACTAAATTGAGGTTTAAAATGGCTATTCAAATTAAGTTATGTTTTAAATGGTCCAAAGCAAAGTTCATGCTTTTTTTCAACCAAATTTGAAAGTTCGTGATTTAAATGACAATTTTCTCAATTTTCTTCCGACTCTGTCCTATGTGTACTTAGAAAGAGTTATAAACCTTTTAATCCTATTTGTGAGACATGTGAGATGATCATCTAAGGTGAGAATGAGATTTCATTTTTTCTGAGCATGTGAATACTCATTATTCTCTAATGAGTGCTGCTACTCACACCGGTAACAAGCACTTCACGTACTACGTCACCACAAAGTAAAAAAAATAAGCTTAACCATGTTGATGTTTCCGTTGTTGGTAGGAAACTTAACTTATGATACCTTCTTTTCTCTCACTTTGGGCATATTCTATCTATTAAGATACTACAGTTCATATGTCATATTATTACACTAAAATCACGAAATATTTTGATCTATCACAAGAGATGTTGCAATTGTGATAGATTTTCAATTCAAAACAAACGCAACTAAAAATTGTTAGTTAGGATTAGGATAGTTTAGTCTTTTCATTTAGAAATAAATATAGTTTTCAAAATAATAAAAACACAGTGTAGTTTTCAAAATAAAATCTCTTATCATGGTATTTTTCCAAATTTTCCTTTTTTGTGCAATGACAAATATTGATTTTTAATAATAATTTTTTTGTGTTAGAAAAAGCTAAAAAGAAATTTCTTCTTTTCTTAAATAACACTACTAAATTACATAATATAATTAATATATATATATGAAATTAATGATTATTAACAATAAAGATTTGATCAAAATTGTGTATTCTCTATTGTTTCTTTTTAATTTTATATCAGTTATATAAATTGAATAGTCATATTAATGATATAATAAAAAATATGTGTTTATTATATTTTTAATTTTAAAATGATTATAAATGATCATAAAACTATATGAGCATAAAATATTTGAGCATGAAACATCATTGAATAATAAGATACAAATGATCATAAAACTATCTGAGCATGAAATATCATTGAATAAATATTTAGATTGAAATATATATATATAATTTATATATATATATATTAATATCGTTTAACTTAAACTATATACCATATATAAATAAATAATTTAATAGGCTTTTTAGAAATTTGGATTACACTGAAATTAATAAACAAAATTATAATTATTAACATTATTAAAAATGTATTTTACATATTTTGTTTATTAGTAAAAAATATTTTATATTTCTTTAAAAATATTTAAAAATATTTCATTATGCGCATATTACATATTATTATTTAGTTTATAGATTATATATTTAAAATGTACAACCTTATTGGTTTAGTATCTCAAAATGGGGTTCTAACTATTACAATATAGTATTTTAAGTGACTTAATCCTTTATATCTTAAAAGAGAAACATTGTAATAAATACATTCACACTATAATAGACACGTGGCAACCTCACAATAATTTGATAATAAGTATCTAACGGGTTCACATTATATCAATAAATGTAATCATACTATATACTTTATGTTTATTAATATAAAACTCACACGCATGGTTCTAATAAAACTCTAGATTTTTTTATTCGAAACAAAATAGATAACAAATCAAAAGCCAAACTATATATATATATATATATATATATATTATTTTTATTGTTTACTGATAAAGTTGGGAAAAATATTCATAAATATTCGATTTGTTATCTGTTTTGTTTTGAACCAAAAAATGTGGATACTCGTAACTCTACGAAGCAAACTAAATACTAAAATATAATATCCAAAAAGAAGCAAATCACAAATACCAATATTTTTTTGGAACGAATATCTAATTTGATCCGTTATATGCATATATATATACATATATGTAAGGAATTATATAGGCATTATATATTATAGTTTATATAAGTTTTACAATGTTTTTATAAACTAAATTTATTATATTAGGTACTAGAATTTAAAATTTAAAATAATGGTTTATTTTTGTAATAAAATGTTATTATTAAAGTATCAATTATTTTTAATATTTTATTTTATTTACGGATCAAATCAGATATTCTTAAAAATTCTAAAAAAAATTATGAATATTCGAGTTACCAAATATCCAGGTGGCTAAGGATCAAAACAACATGAATGCTTCCAAATACCCGGATATCCGATCTGTTCCTCCCCCTATTTACGGATACAATTATATTTTCTTGTATGAAAAAATTGACTAATGTCAAGACCTTTTTTATTTTTAATTAATTTTAATTTCATTTTCATGTATTATTTTGAACAAAAATGCAATTTAATATTCATTAACAATATCTTTATATGTTTGTCAACTATTTTTATATACTTTTACATACACATACATGTGTACCTTGATGTGAGAACTTTGTAACTAAGTATTTACTGCAACTGAAGTATCTATTTTTTTTTGGAAGTTGAAATAATTTTTCTCTTAATGCTTCTTTCATTACCAATCAAGTTGTAGGAAATGATTTGTCTTAATAATTCTCTTCTCTTTTTTTTGAACTATTATCCGTTTAGAAACTATAATATGAAACCATTGGTTTGACATGAAGACTAACTAAAATTCATAACATTCAAATATTTTAACCGAATAAATCAAAATAAATATTAATTTAAAATAATAGTTATATTTTAGGAGATTAAAAACTAAATGAAAAACTTAAAACTGAATTGATATCTAGATTAAACAAATTTAGTGTCTTTTTGTTTAAAATAACAAAATTAATAATCACATTTCGCGTAAATTGCAGGTTATTATCTAGTTTTGTAATTAAAATTTAATGTAAAAAGATAATTGGATGGATAATGACAAGTGTTTTAATATTATCTCAAGTATTTCATGAGGTCTAATTTGGAAACCTCCTTTCCTTCTCTTTCATACTTCTGCATATTATTTCTTTCCTATTGGAGGTTTCCTAAGTAGAAAATGCATAGCCATTCAGTACTAGGGCTAGCTAGGTTGAAGAGTATATATGACAAACAAAGAAACAA